ACATTCTTTGCTGGGTGAAGAACTGGTTTGGAGGGCCAGGCACAGAGAGTGGTGGTGAATGGAGTTAAATCCACCTGGTGACCAATCACAAGTGGTCTTCCCCAGGGGTCAGTACTGGGGCCTGTCCTGCTCGGTATCTTTACTGGTGACCTGGATGAGGGCATTGAGTGCACCTTCAGTGAGTTTGCAGATGACACCAAGTTGGCTGGATGTGTCGATCTGCCTGGGGATAGGAAAGCCCTACAGGGGCCCAGAGGAATCTGGACAGGCTGATTGCTGGGCTGAGGCGAAAGGGATGAAGGTCAACAAGTCTAAGTGCCAGGTCCTGCACTTTGGCCACAACAACCCCATGCAGCACTACAGGATTGGGGCAGGAATGGCTGGAAGGCTGTGTAGAGGAAATGGATCTGGGGATACTGATCAACACTTGGTTGAACATGAGCCAGCCATGTGTTCACGTGGCCAAGGCCAGTGGCATCCTGGTTTGTATCAGAAATAGCTTTTCCAGCAGGAGCAGGGAAGTGATCAATCTTCTGTACTCAGCACTGGTGAGGCTGTACCTTGAATATTGTGTTCAGTTTTGGGCCCCTCTCTACAAGGAAGACACTGAGGCCCTGGAGCATGTCCAGAGCAGGGCAATGAAGACAGAGTGGTCTGGAACACAAGTCTTATGAGGAGCGGCTGAGGGAACTGGGATTATTTAGTTTGGAGAATGGGAGCCTTAAGGGTGACCTTATCACTCTCTACAGCTCCCCAAAGGGCGGTCGTGGTGAAGTAGTGAAGCTTCTTCTCCCATGTGACTAGCAACAGGACTAGAGGGAATGGCCTCAGGTTGTGCCAGGGGAGATTCAGGCTGAACACAAGGAAATACTTATTCAAGAGAGGGCAGTCAGGCACTAGAATGGGCTGCCCAGGGATGAAAGGGAGTCACCAACCTTGGAGGTGTTCAATAAACATTTAGATGTTGTACTGAGGGGCATGGTTTAGTAAGAAATATTAGTGATATGTGGATGGTTGGGCTGGATGGTCTAAGAGTTTTTTTCCAACCTTGCTGATTCTATGATTCTGTGAGTCTATGGTATGGGCAACCCCCTCTGTTTGAGCACTGGGGTTGTACAGATGGACCCAGTGGTTGGTTCCAACCTCAGCCATTCTTGCTTCTTTGTAACAGCTCCAAAATCAGGTATGTTAATACTACAGTAATTTAAATTAACCATTTTTTTTTTTTCTTGCAGAGTTCAGGAAAGCTCGTAGCAACGCAGGTAAGCCAATACTCATCTGCCATTAACTTCATGTTCTTCCATGCACATACAAATATCTACCATTCTTGCCACAAAAAATTCACAGGATGTAATAATTTGGGGAAAATATTAATCCTGTTTGTTGAAACAGGCACACAGTCTTTTGTAGGCATCTCCCATTTACACTGTTCTCAAAATCCTGAGTTGAAATGGATCATTTCTGTTCGTTCCATTTAAGACCTTTTTAAACGTTATGTGGCTTCAAGAGATTCAGCTTTATGTTCAGCTCAAAAAGCAAACTGACGAGTCAATATGAGTGCTGATGGTTTAATTAAGCCACAATGAAACCAGAGAAAAGGCATGTCCCACTGTAGGTTGTTTTCCTATTGAGTTTTTGTCCCAGGAAAATACGGATACATTCCTGGTGTATAAATTTACTTATTTATTTGATTATTTTACTATTTGTCTTCTGTATGCTATTCCTTTGACGTTTTTGTTTATTTTCCTGAAAATCAGAAGTAATTACTTTTTGCTTGATTTTTTTCTTTTTCAAGTTAATATCACTCTGGATCAGAAATGCAGACACCCCAACCTCTGCATTAGTAATGACAACAGGAGGGTAAAGTCCTCAAACAAGACAGAGACAGCCCTCAAAGCGATGGTGGTAGCTACTGAAGGTTTTCCAGGCGAAAAACATTACTGGGAAGTGGAGGTGGGGAACCAATCACAATGGGAGCTGGGAGTGGTGAGTGAGAAAATTAGGAATATGATAATGAACAGCACAGGGAATTCATTCCCAGAGAATAATTTATTCAGTCTACAGTATTCTCAGGGAAAATACACACTAACTGGTGGGAAGGATGTAAGTGATTGCAAGCAGTGCAGAGTGGTGGGTGTTCTCCTGGATGTGGAAAATGCTGAGCTTTCATTCTACAATGTTGAAGAGATGAGCCCTCTTGGGTCTGTCTACTTTGAGTTTACTGGGAAACAATATCCATTCTTCAGTCCAGTCTCGAGTGGCGAATGGCTGGGGGTACGACCTGTAAAACCACAGACCTAGGGCTCTCTTCCATAGAGTGAGAAAGAGATTAATAAACGAACAGTGTGGTGAATAAGAGAGGATGCAAAAATGTAGAAGAATGTATTTTCATCTTTAAAAACTATGGTTAAGGAAGAAATAGTCCCTGAAGTACTTCAGAGGGAGTCATCTTGCTGTAAGAGCTCATTTTGTAAAAACTGAAACATATCAGACATTGCAATTGTATTTTATTCTGTCTGGAATAAGAAGAAATAAACACAAAAAAACCTAAGTGCTGCATATTTATTTCATTATTTGTACTATTTACTGTATATTCATTTTCATCTAACAAACTCAGATATAGTCATTTGTAAACAACAGTTATATTCAACTGACTGAATGTGGAAGCATAATGCATTTTGAACTCATGTATATGCAGCTAGAATTAAATGACCTAATTTGCACCTTCAATTCAAATTGTGGTTAAGCCAGCATCAAAAAACCAAACCAAAACAAAAAACTATCTAAGTCCTAATACTTCTGCTCAGTTTAAAACCCCCCTAAATAAAATTTGATTGAATAACTGGAAGTAAATCAGGACACTGAGTTAGTGACGTGGTACATGTCCAGGTACAACATGGCCCAACTACTCACAGAGATCAGTGCCTTGAAAAATTGTCCAACTGAGAAATGAAAGGCATGGAAGGGATGGGAACAACTGATGAGTGTGGTTTGAGCTGTTTTCCTGAAAATGGCTGAACATAGAACGGCTTGGGTTGGAAAGGATCTTAAAGATCATCCATGTAAGTCACTCTGAAAGTAATGCCTCCTATTTATTTCTGCGGAAACTACAACAGCTACAAAAAATAATATAACAATAACACTCTTTGATAGAGCAAATTCTCAGCTACAAAACACTATTTTTCAATATAGTCAGCATTATTAGCTTTGCATTTTTGCCAGCAATGATCAAGAGCCTTCATGCTGTGTTAATAAAATCTGCACCAGCGGAGGTGATCACTACTTCACAGCTCTATGGAGGAGTTGTTGAAATGCATCTACTGCTTTCCTGTGCTCACATTCACCATTTGGTCTCCATAAACATTCATCAAGTGCTGATGAATGTCAGAGAGTGCAATTTTTTCTGCATGGAGGAATTACACACCTTCACTTCATGAGCACTTCCATGTCAAATGTCATTTTGTCAGAACTGACTCTCTGCTGCCATCTGTCGCATGGAAACAGAATTGAATGGAATATTGACAGGAATGCTCAACCTCTACTGCTGTCCCACCAACACCTGCCTCTGACATTGTGGGACAACACAATAAATTGAAGACATTTCTTTAGGAGCAGCTACCTTAGTTCCAATGTCCACAGACTGATGGAAAATGATGAATTCAATCAACTATTCCCACAGTAAACTTTCTCAAAAAATCTTCAAGATAAAATCTGAATCTGAAACTTTTTCCCATGGACAGAAAACACCATGAACTTGATCACTGAGGTTAGCTGCTTTGGAGGAGCTGCCATATAGGAGGAGGGCTAGCACTTAGCACTTAACAGGTCACTTAACAGGCCGTTGCCCTCTGGACACACCAAGGTGCAGTCATGGTCACCACACAGCAGTGAGCTGCTGCTAAAAGGAATGTGGAATGTCTGTGCTCAGACAGGAAACATGAATATCCATGCCACAGTTCACGTCTCAGGCTGCAGAGAATGCCTGGCCCTGTTACTGCTACAGGAGGGCATCCAGGATACCAACTGTGTGTGGCGTGAGCAGCTGAATGATCTGCTCAGCCTGATGGTAGAGCTAAAGGAGGAAGCAGAAAGGCTGAGCAGCATCTGGGATTGTGGGAAGGGGATCGATTGGTGGAGTTGCACTCTGCCATCCCTACGGGAAGGGTGTGGGGGAGATGCTCCTCAAGCAGTGGGGAATCATCAGTCAGGTGGGAAGAGGCGACCTCAAAGATGAGGGATGGAAACAAGTCCCTGTTTAGGGCAGCAAGCTGACTGCCCCTCAGCCTGTATCACCTTCCCAGGTGTCCTTACATAACAGGTATGAGGCTCTGGAGCTGGAGGTACTGGGGGATGTGGATGTTGGTGAAAGTCGATCTGTGCAGGAGAGGTTGCCCAAGGCTAGTCAGTCTGCTCCCTGTTTTGCTACAACATGAGTCAGGAAAAAAAGAAATGTTGTCATAGGGGACTCCCTTGTGAGGGGAACAAAGGGACTGATTCGCCACTCGGATCCGTCCCAGATGGAGGTGTGCTGCCTGGGTGAGAGGTGTCACCAGGAACATCACTCTTCTCGTTAAGCCCTCTGATTATTATCCGTTACTGGTTTTCCACGTTGTAAATGAAGAGGTGGGCAAAAGAAGTTCTTGGGTGATCAAAAGGGACTTTAGGGCTCTGGGAAGACTCCCAACACTTTCTGCTTCCCCAGCTCATTGCTGGAGGACAGTGAGGGAAGTTGAAATGTCTGTGACCCAATGTAAGCACTGTTCTGCAGCAACAAAAATACTGGTGTTGTATCACCATTATTCACATCCTAAATCCAAAACACAGAACCGTATCAGCTACCATGAGCTCACACCTGAGTCCCCTTGGCTGCTAGATCCTTGCCAAAAGCACACAACACACAGAAAGAAAATCTTGGTTTCGTTTTCCAGCAAGTGAGAGGCATTTCTTTATCATTTTCCTATTTGCATAGAATTGCTCCACCCACTTCAGCCTGTGACTTGAGACATTTTCTTTCTTCGTGGTATTGTTTTCTTTAACAACTGGTCTAGAGGCTACTGATAGGTAAGAGCACGAGACTTTTTAATGCTAGAAAAGACACATAATGAATACAGCAAGATAATATAACTTAGCTACTATTTTGGCTAACTGTGTTCTATTTACTACTTCACAAGACGTGTTGGGAGTGCAGTACTGATAAGGAATAAAGAAGAGTACATTTCAACAAAATTAAAGAGTGAGTATCTGATAACTAAGCCTCAGAATATTTATATAAGTTAATCAAATGTTGTGAGACTTCTACTGCAGTTTTATTCATTGGACTACTACTCTGGAAATACATATAAACTTTACAAAGAATTGGTAAGTGCAAACATGCAATCGAAAGGTGGATCAGTGTGCTTGTCTGTATATAGTTAATCATTTTTAGCATGCAGCTGTGTACGGTTTTGGTGCTTGGTGAAACAACATGAAGGAATTAATTGGGAATGCGTTATTCTGACATGCTTGTTGGTTGATTAGTATCCTCAGTGGTGTTGTGGATATTTGCATTGTCTCCCTTTTCTCCTCTGTGCATTTAAATTGAAGTCTGTACTCTTATGAGTAATGGTGTATACCTCTGGTTCTTCCTTACAACACTCAGCTTTATTGCCCTAATGTACTTTTACTACACTTCAGCACTTCACTTACACTTTTCATTGAAAGAGGACAAGAGTACAAACTCGTGGCAGTAAAGATAGATCGCAGGTGCAAGATAACATAACCATAGATATAAGGAGTGGGGCATGCTGGGAGACAGGGTGATGGGCTTAGTGAGACTATGAGAGGAGCTGCAAGAAAGGAGTGGCTGCTGGTAGTTCAGTCACCACTGGCTCCTTGCTCTGAGAATCTTGCACCAGAACATGACACAACATTGCAGAATCAAGGTAGGTGAGGAAGCATGAAGCACAGCTCCATTTTGTAAATGAAGCCAACACGAGCATGTGACGCATTGCAGCCCATGCGTAGCATGAGAGCCTGGCAGTGTAAGAACAGGACTGGCAGTGAGCTTCAATCTGGGTTCAAGGTTCAAGGTTCAAGGTTCTGCCCAGGACCCAAGCTACCTACAGCACAGGTCCAAGGTCTGTCAAGAAGAAAGAGCTTGGAACAGGGCTGCAGTCCATGGCACAAGCTTGAATTTCCAAAAGCAATGGGTAGAAAGCATGGCTGGAGATGAGAGTGCTCAGGGTCATTAAGGCACTTTACAGGATCGTTATTGCACTTAAGACACTGACAGTGACAAAACTGAGAGCACCATGTGACCAACCCAATTCTTAGTGCCAAAAAGAACCCCAGGGATTACAGGATGCAGCCAGAGGGAAGGTATTGAGACTCTGCCTGTGCTGCCCATCTTGCTTGTGGATTTCCTCCTAGGATAGTATGGAGCTGCAAGAATCCCTTCAGCGGAGACAAAAAAGGGAGTCTGTAGTTAATGCCAAACTCAGATCACCAGCAGTTATGATGAGGGAAAAACTCCATGTATTCTAAGGGCTGTATATTTTGTTTGCACTGTTTAGAAGCAAAAAAGTATTTCCTGCTTGAAATTGCCAAACTTTGGCCTCAGGAGATGTAGTTGTTCTGTAGAGCAGTTCTGTGGCTGAGAAGTTCATGCTTGACAATCACTTTCAGGTGGCCTAAATGCTTTGCCATTCCAAGGCCAAGAAGGAAAATACAACAATATGTCATCAGAATTTTAATCTTCTTAAACCCTTGGTGGGGCCCATGGTGTGGTCTGAGTTTTGGTAAGAATAATGTAAGGGAATAGCAATTCAGCTGGTAAGTAATACATCCACAGAGAGCTCTACTAAATGACATGGTTGTTCCATTTTTGTTTCTTTTTTTCAGATTGTTTCTTTTTTATTGCTTCTTCACTGTCTATTGGAAAATGGTGGAACTTGAGGTGGTGGGAAAGGCCCAAATGAGTCTTATGGCATTTTCTTTATTCAAGTTCTCTGTTCAAACCACACGTTTTGCACTTTGGATGACTATCATCCAAAAATGTACTGAATATTTCCCACTCTACATGCTAAAGAGCAATGAAGACCTCAATGCCTTGCTAAAGAATGTGATTCTGTTTCAGGAATATTCGTTTGCTTATGTTTCGTTCCTATCAGGAATTCTTATTTTTTCTCATATCAGGTCAGCCTTTTCCAGGAGGATTATAAACAACTTGCCCAACATGACAGTTTGGGAAGTTTTATCGCGTGTGCGCCCAAGAAATATGAGGGAAGTCCTGTTCTTGAGTATTCCAACATGTTTTCTTACTGCATTGTGGCTTACAGGTAAGACAAAACGTATTCTATCCAGTTATTCAGTTCAGTTGTAAAATATAAATAAGTAAGATATGTAAGATCAGTAGAATCAGTGAAATGAAGAAAGCAGAAGCTATGGAATAGGCAGGAACTGTGTTCTAGTTCCCGTTTCTCTCAGTTTCTCTCAGTTTCTCTCTCTCTCTCTCAAAAGGAAAAAAAAAAAAAAAAAAAAAAAAGGAGGAGAAAAGCACCTTTTATTTTCCTGCATTAATTCCCAGATACTTCCTTCCTCATTTATCTCCAGGGTGTTTAAGAAGTGGTATAATACAAAAACTTCAGTACTATGTCTAAGCTTTCTTTAAAATATTTTGTGGTCCTCATCACTCTCCCAGATGAGTAATTATTTTAAAAAATGTTCTTCTGTTAACCACGTCCAAATGGCACAGATTAGATGACTTCCACTGCCACTCTACACCTGTATTACACTGCAATAAATTGTTTGTCATTTAAAAAAAAAAATTGCTTTTTCTCCCTTTCTTAGGAAACCACGACTGGCTCTGGATTCTTTATCTCTTTTGCTTCATTATTGCAATAGGTAAGCTATTCCACCATGCCAGAGCCCCCAGTTTACAGTTCGTAGCAGAGAAATTTTGATAGCCTTCTCATCCAGAATTTCCAACCTTCTGTTGTCCTCCCAAGTGGCACAGACATCCTATGTTGGAGATAACTCATCCTTTCCAAGAAACTCACAGCTCTGGATTCCTTCAAGAGAATCTTTTTGTTAATGAATTCACTCAGGAGTGGCTTCCACCTTCCAGATGCACCCCATAGCTTTCCATCTTCCAAAATCAACATCTTCCCTCACCTTCACAGAACAATGTTGTCCTTTGCCTCTCCAGTCCTTTGTGTTTCTAGCACCAAGACATTCGGAAGTTGGTTTTCTCAAATGAAATACCTTTTTCATTGTCTCATCTTTCCTCTTATTTATTTTATTTCCTTTTTATTTATTCTTTTCTGGCTTAGTATTGAACTACAGAAACATTCCTTATTAACTGGGCATCTGTCTGTTCAGATGTTATGAATTGGGTATCTTTTCACACTCCCATTTTTCCTTCCCAATGTGCAGAGTTCACCAAAACCAATTTTCATGTGCAAATATTTTAATTGAAATTGGAATTATATAGTTTGACAAGATTACTCTTACCTGGAGAAAAGAAAAAATTGTCTCCTGTGTGCAGCAGAAGAGAGAATATGGTTTCTGCTTGTTGAGAATGCCAATGATGCTGAAGAACACTAAGAAAGCCTCTGGGGCATTTCATATGAAGCAAGACCTGCATGATTTTGTATAAATGTGAAAAAAAAAAAAAAAAGAATGCAAATCTGACTTCTTTGGGGCCATAACATTCCATGTTTTTAGGTCTGTCATGACGGTAACAGTGTAGTTCCATTTTTAGCATTTGTACTACAGATTTTCCAAATGATCCTCTGGCATCCATTCATTGACACAACTGAGTTTTCTTGATTTTTTTTTTTTTTCTTTTAAGTACAGATGTGTATTTCACATTCAGGTGTGAGACGACTTGATAGCAGTTAGTTGGGATATATGTCTCAGTTTCTGGCAAATTGCAGGGTTGATACATATCGAAGTTTTAAGGAGTATGCTTTTAAGATGGACCTTCCTGAGAAGAGATCTAAAATAGTATTGCAACCATGGCGCTGGGAAAAGCTTTTGCTACTTCCCTTCTAACCACTGTCCCAAAAGACCTCACTGAGGGACGAAGATCCAAAGTAATATAAGGAATGCAGGTATACAGCTGCACACAGACTTTCCCTTCCTCTAGAAAATGTCCAGTCCTTTGTTAGGAAAGGTCCTTATGAGTGTCAGATATCACAGACCAAAGAAGGAAGAATGCAGTAGAGTGAGTGGATTGGTTTACAGTGAGTATGTGGGACATATGTTCATTTGGTGGACTGAAGTGAGAGCTCAGAATGGCTGTCCTCATCTCTGAGGCAAGGCTGTTCTGCTACAGTACACATTTGTCAGGGTCTGTAGAAATTTGTGGCAGGAGACCACAGTTCACAAACTGGCCAGAATACACACTAATAAATGCAGATATAACAGGTGAGGTGGAACAACTATGGAAAAAACTCCAGGGAAATTGACTACCATTCCCTTAGAAGTAAGGAACCATTGAGGTGCTGTTTTTCATGTATTTTCATTTTAGCACACAGCGAGAGAAAAATCAGTGTGTGTGTTGATGGTGTAATAACGAAGAATGGCCATGGAGTGAGTTCCATATTAGAATGAGGAATGTGCAAAGGTTTGTTCTCTCCATGGCCTCAGGTCTCTTCTGTGCCCTATTGTGCATTTGGTATAGATGGGAGGATGTGCTTATGATATTAGGACTCATATATTGGCTGGGCTTCTTTCTCAGTGGCATTTTTCCTGTGTCAAGATTTTAAGCACTGGACATTGAGAGCAAGCAGCCCAAGGTACAGTATATGCCATGACAGAGCAAACAGGGGACTGTGAGGTTTAAGTCTTGGTCTGAACCGGAAAGAAAGGGCAATTGAGATGTGATGTAGGTGTTACCTCAAAGCCACCATGCATGGGAAAACCCTGACTAAGTAAGGGGTTGGTGGAGGATGAGTGTGCCATGCTGAAGGCATCCCATCCTTTTCCCTAAAGTTGTAGGGAATGGGTTGCTAAGAAAGGTGTCCCGATTACTCTCATCAATATCTGTGTCCCTTTTTTAGAGGAGCTCCATGCACAAAGAAGAGCAGGGGAGGATGCACAGAAAGGTGAGTGCACGCAGGGTAGTGCCCCAGTGGCACTGTGCATGAGTGTTCTCACGAATACTGTAGGTCTACACCTTCATTGTGAGTGTGCTTTGTTGAGGGATTCCCATACTTCTTCCCAAGTCTTTCTGGACGATGTAGTGCTGAGCAACATTTCCATCCTTTCCTCTTTTCTTCTTGCAGAGACCCTGAAGAAGATTGGTGAGTAGAGCTGTCTCACTCCTGCCAACCCAACTGCTTGGCAGACTGTTGGCATGTGCGGTTCTGTTGGAGGTTGTAATGAGTTTGGTGGAGACTTTGGAGGAGATGAGGGTGTAAAAAGGACTGCTCAGAGAAAGCAGAGATGGGGTGGCAGGATGGAGAGCGTGGGCCCGGATGAGTCTTGTGTGCCAGGGGGAAGTGATGGTTGGAGCAGGTGACTTGTGATCATTCAGAATGAGAGGTTTATGAGGAGGAGTGTGAATGGACTTGAGCCAATTCCCTGCCAGAGGCATTTGTTGTGCATGGCTGGGGTGGGCAACTCCAACGGGCAGCACCCTGGGACCTTTGCGGGTCTGGACCTGACTTGGATTCTTCCTTTTTTGGTGACTTCTTGGACTGGGCAGAGGAGCTCTGTGCCAAGTATGGTGAGTATTTCTGCTCACCCTCAGGCATTTGCAATGAAGGGCTTCCCATCCTGTTCCCAGAGCCTTTGTCGATGCTGGGGTGCTAAGTAAGGTGTTTCCCCCTTCCTCTCTGACTTTCTGCAGCAAGTCTGAAGAAGGAGAATGGTGAGTGGGACTGTAGCCTGGCAAGCCATCCCTTCCACCAATATTCAAGTTTATTTGTCATGTTGTTGTGCTGCTGGTGATGGTGTTGTGCATGGAGGAGTTTTTGAAGCAAATGAGAATGCATAGAAAGAGCTGTGGAGGGATGGCTGCAATTCAAAGGCTACAGATGGCCAGGCCCCTGGCAACCCAGTCATCTGTCTTTGATGCTGTAGCAAGGAGTGGTGAAATTATTCTGGCTCTAGTGTGTGAGGGGTAAGTTGGGTGGCATAACGTGGCATGAGCCAAGGCACCTCCAAAATCCTATGTTGATCCTTGCTGGGTTGGAAAATCCAAGTGAGCAGTGCTCTGGGACATCTGGATTTGTAACTGACGTTGTGAATTTTTCTGCTCTGGATGCTTTGATTGGGCAGCTTGGGCAGCTCTGTGCCAAGTATAGTGAGTCCCTCTGCTGACTTCAGTCAATTTGTGTTGGGATAAGGGCTTGGGGATAGATGAGAGGACTATTCCAGCAATGCCAAGTATCTACAGACAGATCTGTGATTGAGCCTGCCAAGACAAGAGTGTGCAAAAGGAAGTGTGTGGAGGGAAGACAGAGTTCTTCTATGCTTTGGATTACTAATGCTCAGGAGTTGCCAGTGTTAGATTCCCAGAGCCCTGTTGCAGTGTCAGTCCATAACTCAGTAGCTTGTGGCAACAAGTGGCCACGTGGGAATGGAATTCCACCCTCAGTGATGCACACGGAGGCCTGGTAGAGCTGCTTGTGTGGTGTAGAAAAGCAGGTGTGGGGATGTTCTTGTGGGGGTGGGATATTCCACGTTTGGTAGTGCATGGACCACATCCGTGAGACGTGGGGAGCAGCATGGAGGGCCATTGGACTGTGTCAGCACTGCAGCTGGGTGCTGCTGTGCCCAGAGCTCATGGGGACCTTTTACCATCGGTTGGCATTGCCTCCTTGCTGGGACAGATGCTGAGGTCTTTTCCTTCTCCCCACACGTATTTTTCAGAGGTGCTCCTGAAGCAAGGCAGAGCACAGGAGGATGCAGAGAAAGGTGAGCTTATGCAACGTAATGGCCCAATGCTTCTGTGCTTGAGGAATCTCGAGCAAAACAACTGTGTTTATGTAGCGTGAGGGTGCCGTTGAAGGCGTCCCACACTGTTCCCATGAAGTGATAGTGAGCAATAGGGTGCTAACCCAGGTGTTTCCCCCTTCCTCCTTATCTTTCTGCAGAGACTCTGAAGAAGGAGAATGGTGAGTGGGACTGTAGCCTGGCAAGCCATCCCTTCCACCAATATTCAGGTTTATTTGCCATGGTGTTGTGCTGCTGATGGCAATGTGTGCGTTGGAGTGTTTGGAAGAGATGAGCTGGAGAGGGTGGAGTGGGAAGGCCGGAGCCCTGAGCAGCCCTGTCTGCTGCTGTTTGAGTGGTGGCTGGTGTTGGTGGCATTGTTCCAAATCAGATGGTGGGGGAGTTGAGTGTCGGTATATCGGGGTGTGAGCCAAAGTCCCTCTAGGGAAACCTGTTGCTACTGGCAAGTGTGGGAAGTCCCCCTGGGACATGAGGTTCTTGGGCCTAACTTGTTGTTTTGTTTTGTGGTGGCTGCGGTGACTGTGCAGAGGAGCTCCGTGCCAAGTATGGTGAGTCCTTGTGCTTGCCCACATGCGCTCCCGATTGGGGATAAGGTCTTGGAGATGGTGACGAGGGCTATATCAGCCATACCAGGTGTCCCCACACGTGTGCACGACTGAGTCGGCCTCTACCCCACTCTCCCTGTTCCAGCTGGTGTTCTTCAGCTTTGGCTTAGCCAGGGCTGTGTCCTCTGGCCAGTGCTACAATGCATTTGGGAGCTTTGTTTTGAGTGTCTGGCTCTGCAGCCCAACTCTGGAGCTTCTCATCATGGTGTCTTTGCCTTTCAGCACAATGTCAAGAGCAGATTGGTAAGTGAATGTTAATAGAGTAATATCCTTGAGTGCTGGCACTGGGACTGTGATGGCTGAAGAAGGTTTTGGCTAAAGACCTGCTTCACCTCAGCTGCTTTCACCCACATGTTACAAATATCAGAACTGATGGAAAGTTCTGTAAACTTTTGGGACCTTGTTCAGATGTGGAGGCAGTTTGAAGAGTGGGTGGCAGTGCTGCTGAGTGAAGTTTGAGTTAATTACCTTGTGATGACCTGTATCCCAAAAGAAAGGAACTGTCATCCACGGGGAAGTTTGGGCTCCTTGCCGTTTCCTCAATGGCTTTGGTAAACTCAAAATTGGAGTGGAAGCTGAGCAGTGCAGCTGGGGAGGTTCTGCTAATGGTTTGCTTCCCTTTCAGGACAATGTCAGATGTAGCTTGGTAGCTGTATCTTAATGGTGTTATGCAGCTGTGTGACGATGGGACAAAGACCCAAGGGGCAAGATGAATTCTCTTGGGCTTTGCTAACCTTGGTCTCCTGGGCTGTTCCCTGACACATTCATGAATGAGCAGGACTGCTGGAATGTTCTTTTACGCTTTGGATTACTAATGCTCAGGAGTTGCCAGTGTTAGATTCCCAGAGCCCTGTTGCAGTGTCAGTCCATAACTCAGTAGCTTGTGGCAACAAGTGGCCGCGTGGGAATGGAATTCCACCCTCAGTGATGCACACGGAGGCCTGGTAGAGCTGCTTGTGTGGTGTAGAAAAGCAGGTGTGGGGTTGTTCTTGTGGGGGTGGGATATTCCACGTTTGGTAGTGCATGGACCACATCCGTGAGACGTGGGGAGCAGCATGGAGGGCTGTTGGACTGTGTCAGCACTGCAGCTCTGGTGTTGCTGTGCCCAGAGCTCATGGGGACCTTTTACCATCGGTTGGCATTGCCTCCTTGCTGGGACAGATGCTGAGGTCTTTTCCTTCTCCCCACACGTATTTTTCAGAGGAGCTCCTGAAGCAAGGCAGAGCACAGGAGGATGCAGAGAAAGGTGAGCTTATGCAACGTAATGTCCCAATGCTTCTGTGCTTGAGGAATCTCAAGCAAAACAACTGTGTTTATGTAGCGTGAGGGTGCCTTGTTGAAGGCGTCCCACACTGTTTCCAAGCATTTGTGAGTGATAGAGTGCTAACCCAGGTTTTTCCCCCTTCCTCCTTATCATTCTGCAGAGACTCTGAAGAAGGAGAATGGTGAGTGGGACTGTAGCCTGGCAAGCCATCCCTTCCACCAATATTCAGGTTTATTTGTCATGGTGTTGTGCTGGTGATGGCGATGTGTGTTGGAGGAGTTTTTGGAGCAAATGAGAATGGAGAATGGAGAATTGAGGCATGGCAACGACTCAAAGGGTAGTGATGGTTGGCCCCTGACAGCCTGTTCTCCTGTGGTTGACAGTGACGCTTTGAGTGGTGAAATTATTCTGGCTCTAGTGTGAGGGGTGTGTGGGCCAGTATGGCACGGCATGAGGCAAGGCACCTCCTGAACCCTGTGTTTTTCCTTGCTGGGTTGAGAAATCCAAGCAAGCAGTACTGTGGGACCCTTGCATTTTTTACTGACATTGTGTCTTTTTCTGCGCTGACTGCATTGATTGGGCAGAGAACCTCAGTGCAAATAAATCTGAATCCCTCAGCCTGCCCTCAGGCATTTTCTATTGGGATAAGGCCTTGGGGATAGCAAAGAGGGCTATTCCTGCAATGCCAAGTGTCTCCAGACAGGTCTATGATTGAGCCTCCCACCTCCCCAGTTCTCAGTGTTCCAACTGGTGCTTGTCATCTCCTGGGTTGGTCTCAAGAATATCATCCAAACCACATGGATTTTCTCTTATTGTTCAGGACTTCATTGCTTTGTGGTGGCCAGTGTGAATGTTGTATGTTACTTTTGAGGAGTGTGGACCACTTGCGTAATGTATTTTTATCTGCTTGTTTTGGAAGTGTTTCCTCAGCCTAACTGTGGAGTTACTGTTTGTGTTGTCTTTGCCTTTCAGCACTCTCTCAGAATCTGTTTAGTGAATGTTAAGTGTTGAATGTCCTCGAGTGCTCATGTTGCAAAACCAAGATTGAAGGGAGGACTTCACCTGGATGTGTTTCTCCTCATCTCCTGGGCTGTTCTCTTCTGCAGCTTCTGATTATTTTCAAAACTGATTTCAGAATCACAGAACTGTGTGGCTTACAAAGGACACCTCTAGGTCACCCAGTCCTCTTGCTAAAGCAGGTTTCCTATTATAGGTTGCACAGAAAAACGTCCTTGTGGCTTTTGAGTATCTCCAGAGAAGTAGACTCTCTGGGCTCTGTCACAGACACAGTAGGTTTTGTCTCTTCCTTTTAGTTGTGTGGAAGTTTTGAACTTACTGTTTAAGTATAACACACTTCTGTGTAATCAGCTGATGTTTTCCTGGTTTCAAATATTCTTGTCCTTTGTCATGGAAGATGATAATCATAAAATGGCCTTCTTACATGCAGAACAGGCAAGCAGTAACAGAAGTACTTGATTGTCTGCCAGTAGCGTGGGCTGTTAAGTCACTGGAGACTAGATTTCCTGAAAACATTTTTCTTCCTTTTTTTTTTTCCTGTAGACTTATTGCGTGCACAAAGGCATAAAGGTAAGTAAAATACATTCTGAATCCCACCTCTTAAAGCTTTGATATAGCTCTTGAGTAACCATTTGTTCTCAGGCCTCCTGTTCTGTAAGTAACAGCACAAGAGAAAGAACTGATTTTGAATCCTTTAGTTATCCATTTGCTGGCCTATAAATGTTTCAGTGATTTCTGTTCTTCTGGGATATATAACAGAATTGTTTCTTCTGTAAAATTAGAGGTTTGATCTGTATAAGAAGGTGGTTTGTTTCAGGGTGTTCATCTAGAGCAATACGACTGCTAAGTGCACACAAACCTGCTGAATTTATCATGCAGCGTTGGTGAATGGAATTATTCCTCGTTCCCTTGCAAGAAGATTTTGTGATTCTGGTTTTGTCCAAAGAGGAGCTGTGTTCCAAAGCAGGGCTCTTATTGTCTTTTCCTTACTGTTGAACGATTCCTTAGTCAAAAGCTTATAATCTCCTTACACTTTTCCTTTGTGTTGCATGCCATTGTTGCATGCTGGTGTCTTTCAGTCACAGATGAGACACAAAGGTGAAGGGAGATGACTTGGGTTGCCGGAAGTTGGTGGTATCCTGGGCATAAAATTTCCTAGGGCCTGTCAGAGTGGAGATCAAGGCAAGGCAGGGGAATAAATCCATATTCATTGGTTCAACCAACAGGAAGTCTCAAAGCAGTCGACCTCTTGTTATTTAGTACTTAAGAAGTTGCCTTGTTATTGCAGTTGATGTCACCCTCGATGCTGACACAGCTCATCCTAGACTGCAAGTGTCTGAAGATGGGAAGAGTGTAACAGACACCGGTGTGATCAGAAAAGTGCCCAGCAAGGAGGAGAGATTTGATTCCCACACTTTTCTGTTGGCAAAAGAAGGTTACACATCGGGGAGACATTATTGGGAAGTGGATGTTGGAAAGAAGCTCAACTGGAGCTTGGGTGTTGCCCAGGAGACTGTGACTCGGAAAGAGACAGTGGCTCTGTCCCCAGAGAATGGTTTCTGGGTCATAGGTTTAGCAGATGGGCAAGAGTATTGGGCCCACTCGGATCCCTGGACCCGTTTAACTGTGAGTGGCAGACCACAGAAGATTGGGATCTTCCTGGACATCTCATCCAAGAAGTTGTCATTCTTCAATGTTCATCAGAAAAAAATGATGTATGCTTTTAGCTTTGTTAATTATCACAGCCAGAATGTGAAGCTTTTTCCCTTCTTCTCAACAGGTTCATCTGCAACCAATTCTGACACTGAGCCTCTAAGAATTGCATGGGGGTTTGATGATGATGACAAGTGAATGATTGAAGTGAAAATGTACAGTTAATTAATGACTGAAAAGTGAGTCTGAGGTCCGAGTACACTACATTCAGCCCCATGCTTTGTGCCACCAAGTTGAAATATAAAATTCTTTCACCATTGCTTGCTAAGTCTTCTGTGAGCCATTTTCTGCAGGAAATCTCTCACTTCAGGCCTCCTAGTCAATGGGTAGAGAGAGTCTCCAGGTGTTTCTATGAACCTACACAAGTGTTTTCTAAGCACAGGAACTGTTTTATGCATATATGGCTGTGTAGAGATCATTCCATCAGATGTGAGGAAGAGCATGAATTCTTTTTCTGTGCACTGGTCATCACAGGAAATATTCATGACATTTATGTGCAAAAGTTGGCTAGTGTCCTAGCGTGGGAGAGCTTTCTGATGAGCTGAAACCACGCTGCTTAAGAATACCTCTGACTTCTGATACTAGATGATCACCAGTCATGGCAGATCCTTGTATATCAGTTGCAAAAACAAAGTGCCTACTGAAAACAACCTGACTGACTTTCCATCAGTGTTTCTTTCTGCAGAAAGTCCTTTCACTTGGAAATGGTGTGGAATATGTTCCAGCCATCCTCATTTTGGTATTTGGTCTGAAAAGTGTTCAGGAGAATTTACAAGGTACTAATACCCTCTCAATTTTAGTGAGTACAGACTGAATTCACACATGAAGATGAAGATTTCTAAGCTTACCTGTCAGTGAATTTGTTGTTGACCTCTCCTGCCCTTCCTGCTATTTCTAGATTCATGGATTTCATCTTTTTCTCTCCTCAGGAGAGTATGGATACATGCTCAAGAACCTATTTTAGGATGCATGCACAATCTCCTTCACACAGTTTTCAGAATATCCTCTGCCAGAGCAAGAATATCTTTACTTCACTCTTCGTTGGTGTCTACTGCTGTTAGAACACCTGATCCTAATGTGCTGGTGTTGCCTTAAAGAAGTTGGGGAGAATATAAGTCCCTTTGTATTCTAGCTTGTCCACAAAAATCAGAGGAGCTGAGGGCAGCTTGACTTAAACACTGAGTGATCCCAGTTTTGGCACTGAAGTCTTGTTATGTTCAATATATCAGACTATCACAATTACAGGATATTCAAGAAACTCTACGCAGCCAGTGAACATACTGCTGTCTGTATAATGAACAGAACAAACTACAGTCTGGATTTCCATTGAGAGTGTCAGGAATGTGTTCAATTCAGTGACTGAATTGGAAGTGGCATGTCAGTTGCCCTGATATCCCTTATCCTTATGGCTGGCAGCAGCTGCTGCCCAGCACAGTCATGAATGCTCAGCCTTCTCTCCTCTCTTCTTGTGCAGAGAAGCTGTGATCCAAAGCATGACTCTTATTCTCTGCTTGCCACTGTACAATTTCAACGATTAAGTGCAAGGCTTAATTACATTCTTCCTTGATGTTTCATGTCATTGATCAAGAGACACCCTCTGCCAGTTGCTTTGCATTTATTGCATGCTGGTGACCCTCAGTACACAGCAGGTGAGAGACAAGGGAAAAGGGAAACTTAGGTTGCTAGAAGACATCCTGGGCAAAGAAATTTCCTAGGACATATCAGAGTGAAGATCATAACAAGGCAGGGGAATAAATGCAGAGGGTCAACCAATAGAAAGCATAAAAGCAGTAGCCCTCCTGTTATTTAGTACTTAAGAAATTACCTTATTGCATTTAATGACACCTTTGACACAGATCATCCTGGAAGTGTCTGAAGTTGGAAAGAGCATCACAGAAAGGTGCCCAGCAAGGAGAGATTTGATTCCCATGTGTTGGGGGAATTAAGGGTTGTCTGCTTTGCCATGTAGCCCATCTTGAAGTTCTCTTGCAACATGCATGCTTAGAGTTGTCTCTCAAGCACACCATGTTTGCAAGTTCCCCTGGGCGTACCAGCACAAACCCACCAACCAATCACCTGACTCAGACTTCAGGATTCCCACTTCTTACAGGCTGTTCCAGCTTAAACTTTACGAGTCAATACACATGCTTATCCCACGCACATCTGTTTGGTGAAGATGCACATACTTGATGCACTCAGCAGGTGACACCAGGCTCATGGGCTGTAACCCAATGCCCTACTTCTGCCTCTGGGGTGGAGACACTTGTCTCACTCACACCAGTCCCACCAGTATCTGGGAAAACAGACTAGTTCTTCCCATGGCTGGGAGTAGAAGACCCCCACTTGCTCCAGTACATCACGTCCGGGCCCTCCCTGCTCACTTCAGTAGCAGTTCTACAGCCTACAGCTCAGCCTGACTCCAGTAGCAGACCCCCAGACCACTCATTGATCTGCCAAGTGTCTGGCACTCTGGGTTCATAGACCGTGGTGCCCTCCCAAGTCCTGGAGACAACTCTCCAACCGTGATACCAGGACCCTCACTCACTCCTGTAGCTGACCCCACATCTGTGGCTGACACCCTTGGCTTAACTCCAGTAGTTGCACCCAGTCCACACACAACAATCCCCATGGGCACCATCCCAGGCTAAGAGCCCACAAGGCCATCTACCTGCTGACAGTAGGACCCTTCACTCCGCTGGCTGACACCATAGCTCATACATCACTGTATCTAACCGTAAATGTTCTAATGTGCTTACGAAAGAAAATATGTTTAAATATGTTTTTTTTCCATCAGGTAACATTTATTTAGTTACTTGATACAAATATAGTGGAATTGGGCTTGCCTAATTAAATGGATTCCAACAAACTTAAACGCAAATTGGAAATGAGCATGGATGCAATTCCTCCCGCAGCAAAGTGATGGAAAGACAGGTTGTATAGCACCTCCTAAATTACAGCTGTCACTTCTGGGAACTGAATATGTTTTGTAAACTTGAGACTTTCTTACTCAATAACAAGAACTCAATCAACTAACCAGGGTTTTCTGAATATGGCTCCAACCTAATAATCCTAACTGGTTCTTTTGTCCTCTCTAGAATTTTGTGCCTTTCTTATCTACGTCTTTCTTTCTCATTTTGTTTTACATAATGCTGACGTTTGTTCGTGATTTCTCCCTTTTACCTTTGACTGAACTGTCCTTCCCTAGACAATTCTCTGTGCAATTTATGGATTCGTTAATGGAACAGGAATATTTTGATGACAAACAGGCATGAATCTCAATTCCCCTTTCGATAGAAAAGGGTGAAACACTTCTGCAGATTCCTTTCCAAGGCTTATAGATATTCTCAATGCTTTGCTTCTCTTCTTTGCATCATAAAAGTAGACTTGTGCTTCCTCCAAATCCAGAAGCACACCAATCATTGCGTCATTCATTTCCTTCTTCTCTGGCCTGTTGTTTCCTTTGATAGAGAAAACCTCTCCCCTGGTTTTCTGCAGAGCCCAGAAGTCCCCTCTTGCAAGTATCCCTTGCTCCTCTTGTTTCCCTTTGTGCCTCATGACCCCCAGCACCCAGTCCTGCTGCTGGCCCACATCCACTTCCCAGTAGTGTTTCCCAGATGCAAACCCTTCCTTTGCCACCAGGACAGGGATTGTGGAGGGGCTGCTCAGGTCAGCAGGTTCAGTTGCATTGCTTTCAACATCTGGAGCTCCTGGCACTTGGATCTTGAGGAGTTGGCATTCAGAATTCACAGTAAAGGGAACTGGAGGGGAAGATGACAATGACCCAGTGAGCAAAGTGTTTCAGGAACATATCTTTGGAGTGGGAAATGGGTTGAAGCATTTCAGGGCTTCAGTAATCTGGGCATGATTTGACAAGGAATTGAAATGTTTTCCCCAGACAGGGCAAGAAACAGACATGTAGGAACTGAGAGGTCCCTTGGAGCTGTCATAGCCATGATGTCTCTCTTGTGGACAAATCCAGGTGATTCTCACTGTCTTCATATGCTTTATAATTAATTACTCTCTCTCACTTTTCCATTGTGTCAGGGAGGTGGTTGAGTCACCATCCCAGGATGTCTTTAAAAACTGTTTGGATGTGGTGCTCAGGGACATGATTTAGTGGAGTGTTGCTAGAGTTAGGGTAGCTTGGTTAGGCTGTGTTTGAACTTGATGGTCTTTTCTAACCTGAGCAATTCCATAATCCACGATTCTATGATCATTATTATTATTGCTATTATTATTATACATTCAGTCCTTACATGAACACAATTCTGCAACTTTTTTTCTCAGTGTTTCCAATGGTCACCTCCAAGCCTCATTTTGTTTTATCCATTTAAAGCGAAGGCTTATTCCTGTGATTCCAGCTCAGCTGGCCAACCTCTAAGATCATGCCACTGTCATTTCCGGAGAACTTGGACAGAGAAATACACCATTTTCCTACCCTTTCTTCTGTCTGCTTACCTGCTTTGTCCTGAGCTTTCCAGAAATCTGCAGAGGAGAAAGAGAGGAAAGAGTTTTGTGAATCTGTTGTGTGATTACACAACTGTCAGCCTGTCTTCCGTTGCCTTCTGTTGTGCATTTATTGCCATCACTGAAATTCATCCCAAGGGTTGACTTTACGTAAAGCAGCAGCACGTATTCCAAGAAAACAAAACTTTAAAACCACTTACCCAATTCACATTCTAGTATGTCTGCAAGAAAAATACATTCTAGTTATTAAAATGTATTTTGTTGAAAGGATGTTCTAGTTACTGACACCAATAATCTTTATATGAGATTTGTCTGTGTTGTGGTTCAGTTTTTCAAAGCTGGACAAACCCAGACCACAGGACATCAAGCTACACAACATGTAAATACTAGCATGTTTTGAATTAGTGCAGGAGAGGCTCCACATCTGAACTCAGTACCTCAGGTGAGGCCTCAGCAGCGCAGGGTAGAGGGAAATGATCAGCTCCCCTGAGGTGCATCTTTTGAAACAGCCCAGGATACAGTTGGCTTTTTGGGCTGTGTGGGCACAGTGCTGGCTCATGTCCAGCTTTCCATTAACCAGTGCCAGCAGATCTTTTTGCAGTGAAACAATTCATAGCACGTTATGGCTGCCTGTAGATCTGTCCTAGCTTTAGGTATAGCAGCTTCTGGCAAGGATTAATCACAGTTCAGGAAAATCTTACAGCATGCCTCTTGACATCTGCATTGAAGGAGGAAAGAGATCTGAACTGCGATGAGGTCGGTGCAGTCTGTTCCTGCTCATGTGTGGCTT